GGGAAAGAGCTAGTAAAACATTACTAAAATCAGGAACTGCAAAGATTTTTTTTTCACTCAGAACCATTGCAATAGCAGTTAAATTCCATTACTTCCAATCTGCCAGCTGTGAGAGAGAAGTGCAATTGTAACAGGTGAATAAAAAAAAGAAAAACGAGACAAAGCTCTGAAGGAAACGCACAAAAGCCATTACAGAGATGATTTCAGGATGAAAAAAACCCACCCCAAATCTCTCAGCAAGTGACAGCTGTGGTTTTAATGGACTATTCTTAAAATGAGATTTATATGCAAACTGCCTACGAAAAGTAAAAAAAAAGGATGCTAATAACCTATAAATGTTAAAGGTTTTTATCTCAGGCTCAGAAAATGTTGATGGCAATGGATGGAATATCGTACCGTGCCACAAATGTCCCCATTACACGATTGCTGCTCTGGCCTGGTGCCGCTATGAATGACCTGGTACAAGCGCTGCAGCAAAGCAGTTCTGCCCGCTGCTGCTCCACCTCTTCCCAACTCACTGGAGCCTATGAGCGTGGGGGATTTTGGTCTCATATGCCACCCCATCACAAACCAATATTATTTTCTACTACCACTGAAAATATTCCTGATCTCCTAGTGCATTCCTGGGACTTGAAGGAGAGTTTTGAGTGTGCATGAAATGTTGGAGCAACACTGAAGACTGTATCACCAGTGCACCTATAGGTACAGGTGTGTCTTTGGCTGATGAAGCTTCCCCCAGCTCAAAGATAGGTCTTTTTCCATAGGTATCTCTGGTGAGCAACTTCAGTTCACACCAGCTGAAATTCAAGAACATTTGCTAAAGATGAAATAGGTGAGAGAGGGTATTATATCCTCTAAATTCTGAGTTACGCAGGATCCAGACAGCCAAATGCAAAACTTGGCCGATAAACGAGAAACTTTGGAAACTCCTCTCTACTTTGGGTCTGCCTATCGCAGACAGAAGTGTAGAAACCATAGTAAAATTTCATTCTTTAGATGTCTGACAAGTGAACTGTGACAATTTTTGTTTCAATGGGTTAAGGCGTCTTTCCCGGCTGCTTGCACCTCCTCTCTGCCTGACTCCACCACGCACAGCAGAGCTGGCAGGAGATAACATACGCCTGCACCTCCGCTGCTCCCAGCCACAGCCCAACGTCTCCGCTCCCAGCGCCGGTGCTGATTTGTACCAAAGCACCAGTGTGTGTGTGGTGCTGCTGAGTTGTGGGCAGGCTGTGTTATTACTGGGCTACTGTTACTATTAAGCAGACAGATACCTACACATATGTTTATTTACATAGCTAATGCATACTGACTGCATGCATGTAAATACATACAAGCATATAGATACCATATTATATATGTAATTTGTGCTGATGGATTTGCATGTATATGCCCCCCCCCCCCCCCTATATTGGTGAAGCAATGAATATAAGCTAAACAGACAAATGAGATCATTGCTTTTTTACATAAAATATCCACATTTCTGGACCAGCAGCTTCAATGGGTGCGCAGACAAGTACTTGTGCAATTCAGTCCTTCATTTATACAAACTGTGGGAGGCACTGCTTAGGAAAGCAGAGTTTGTGCAAGCAACACCTTGCCTCAGCATCACAGCTTTAGTCATGCTGTTTAGAATTCAGTGGTGACAAAAGCTAAATTCTCCCTTCAATATTAAATATAACTCTGCTTAAGTGTGGAAAAGTAGTGCCAATTTCTTAAGCGAGAGCTAAAGTGAAGCTCCAGTTTTTCTTGTGGCAATTTTAGAAAATTCCCTAAAAGGTTGCAGAGCTTTTTTTTTTTTTTTTTTTTTTTTTTTTTACTCTTTATTTAGTAACTCTAACACTTAATCTTCCTTCATGTCACTGCAGATCCAGCAAGGTCTAGCGAGTCTTGTCATTCCCCATGTGCCTGGAGAAGCAACTGGAAGGCCCCTGGAGTGGCTTTCTCAGCCCTTCCAGTGCCAAAACAGGCTGAGTCAAGAACGGGTTTCATCTCTGTCTATGGTTTTAAAAAAGAATTAAGTTTTGGAGAAACTAAATCCATAATATTTTGAATAAAAATCACTAAAGCATGTTCTCTGAACCACAGGCATGGCACTAGTGCACGGCGAGTCCAACAGCACAGCATTCACACCTGCACTGCTTAGGGTCGTAACTCCGTTTTCTAGCTGCGCTGGAGCCCTACCGAGAGGAATGATTCGTCCCATAAAAGAGCTGAAAAGAGAGGGAATCGGATTTCATTTGCCAGGTTTCTTGTAATACATCAGTCGTCCAGCAGAACCTTTTGGAACAAATACCGATTTAGGCTTCGTTTCCCATCCCTATGGAAGAAACCCCGCCCGCCCCGCTCCCGCCACGGCAACTTTCAGCCCCGCTGGCTTCCAGCGAGGGGCCGAGCGGGCTGTGGCCCTGCCGGTGCCCGACAGCCCCGCTTCCCCCGGCGATGCCGGCGGGGGAGTATTTCCCCGGTCCCCGGGGTGGGACCCCGCTTTTCCCTCCACCTGCGCAAAGCCGGTGACGGCTGCAAAAAGATTGCGAGGGTGACTCCGCTTCGGGAGGGAGGAAAGGAGCGGCGCAGGGGGGGCGC